TTTTATAACAATGGACATACTAGGGTGCTGGGTGATTGGTTTCTGATATGTGGAATAACTATTTATTAGGAATAATTATTAACAAATAGAAAGAGGAGGGAAACATTAGGCCTATAGGGCAAGCCAATCCTTAAGAGCCATTTGTAAGTTCCCACCACAGGAGAACAAGAGACCAAGAAAAACTCACTAGACACCAGGAGTCAGACCATACAAGGAATGGAAACTGTCCTGAAGGCACCTGATCTCACACCTATATTCCATTCACATTCCAAGCCCACCAGCTCAGCCCCCAAACCCACTGATGACAAGTTTCCTGCCAGTGACTACATATAATGATGAAACTCCAGCTCCTGGGTGCTGTCATCACTGACCCAAATCAATGTCCCTTTGGCTGTGTGGTACGCAACCCTTCTCTTTGGATACTCCAACCCCCAGGATATTAAAAAACAATAAATTTAATTGTTCTTTAAAAAATTATCAACTCACCGAAACCGGTTTGGCTCAGTGGATAGAGCGTTGGTCTGCGGACTGAAAGGTCCCAGGTTCGATTCTGGTCAAGGGCATGTACATTGGTTGCGGGCACATCCGCAGTAGGGGGTGTGCAAGAGGCGGCTGATTGATGATTCTCTCTCATTGATCTTTCTAACTCTCTATTCCTCTCTTTTCCTCTCCGTAAAAAATCAATAAAATATATATTTTTTAAAATAAAAATAAAAAGGCTCAACTTAAAAAAATTACCAGCTCAATTTGTAATAATTTAAAAAAAGTAATTGTTCCAGTTGTCATCTCAAAATCAATGCAGCATACATTTATTAAGTACCCACAATGTATCAGGTACTGTTCTGAGCAACAGTAAAAAAAAAAAATTCCTATCATCATTAAGGGCTTAATCTCCAACATTTACAGGGAACTCATACAACTTAATAAAAGGAAGATAAATAACCCAATGAAAAAGTGGGCAACGGACCTAAATAAATACTTTTCAAAAGAAGACAGAAGGAAGGCCAAGAGGCATATAAAAACATGCTCAAAGTCACTAATCTTCTGAGAGATGCAAATCAAAACAACAATGAGGTACCATCTCACACCTGTCAGAATGGCCAACATCAACAAATCAACAAACGACAAGTGCTGGCGAGGATGCAGAGAAAAAGGAATATCATACACTTCTGGTGGGAATGCGGACTGCTGCAGCCACTGGGGAAAACAGTATGGAGTTTCCTCAAAAAACTAAAAATTTGACCCAGTAATCCCACTTCTAGGAATATATCCCAATATACTAGAAACACCAATCAGATATGCACCCCTATGTTCATAGCAGCACAATTCACCATAGCTAAGATTTGGAAACAGCTTAAGTGCTCATCAGCAGATGGGTGGATTAAAAAATTGTGGTACATCTACATAATAGAATACTATGCTACAGTAAAAAAGGAGTTCTTACCATTTGCAACAGCATGGATGGAACTGGAGAGCATTATGCTAAGCAAAATAAGTTAGTCGGAGAAAGATAAATATCACATGATCTCACTCATTTATGGAATATAATGAACAACATATACTGATGAAGAAAAATAGATCCAGAGACAGAGAAACATTGATCAGACCATTAAACCTCAAAAGGAAGGTAGGGAAGGGTGGGGGAGAGATCAACCAAAGGATTTGTATGCATGCATATAAGCCTAACCAGTGGACACAGACAACAGGGGGGTGAGGGTATGAAGGGGGTTGGGGGTTAACGGGGGAATAAGGACACACACCTTAATCAATAAAGACATTAAAAAACATTCCTGTCCCTGCAATAATAAAGAAAAGAATATAGACAACTTTAAACAACTTTAAAAAACTGTTACACGAATTCATGCATGGGTGGGGTCACTTAGCCTGGCTGGTGATTGGGGCCAATCGGAGCCAGCCCCAGGGAGAGACTGCAGGAGGTTGGCTGTGGGAGCACACTGACCACCGGCAGGCAGGTCCTGTGTTGAGCGCCTAACTCCAGGCATTCAGTGTGCATCATATCTACTGGTTGGTTGTCTGGTTGTAAAGGTTGCTTAGGCTTTTCTATAGATAGATTGTTATGTGTTATAAGCATGGTACAGCAAAGTTCCTAGCAACAGATTATTTCTCTCTGGGAATGCAGAGAGTAGGAACCTAGTCTGACAGGATTTTTATTTCTAACAGCATAGTTTGACAGGATTTGGCTTTCTGATTTGAACCTCTAAAGTAGTTTACACTTCAAATTTTGAAGACATGAGGTTAAGTCCTATATAGTTAAACCTATAATGTTGTAACTATGAAAGTTTGAGAAATTGGAGAAGTGAGATTAATATGAACATAAGCTAATTTTAGTCATGCACCAGGATCATCACATACCATTTCCTCTTATACCTTTTCTCCTGTAAACCCATTCCAACGTTTCATCACCACATTCTTTATTGCCATTTCAGACATTATCAATGTGCCTGATACATCACCCACTGCTCCTCCTCTACTCTTCCTAACTTTGAGATGGTACTGCTTCCATATATGCTGACATTCTAGTTATGACAATGATCAATACCTCTGCCATGAGGTCATTATATCCTTTTGTAATACCCACTTCTAATCGCATGTGTTTATTTCCCACACCGCATGCATAATGTGGTTACTCATTGTTAGTGAGGCGTTTTTTTATGCCTTCCTTGTAATTCCACTCTAATTTACCAATACCTACGTATTTTATCCTCAAATTCTCCAGGTGGTTATTAAGGAAGTAAAAATGTAGTAATCTTTAGTTATTTCTTATAAATTTTCTATTTTCTTTCCTGAAATTTCCCATTAGACAGATGTTTATTTATTATTTCCTAAGGATGATTGCAGGGCTACATACAGAGCTTATTCCAGAATTTAGCATTTGTATCTAATTAGAGGCACGAGAGCTGGAAATCAAAGCAAGAAACAATACCTGTTAGCACTGCCTTCACTCAAAATTGTCTTCCAGGATTAAGACTGTGTGGCCAACTGGCTGTCTAAAGTAGCCTGCACATGGGATTGGCGCCCTCTGGTGGTAAGAGGATACCCTGAGTAGGATGGCTGAGAGAGAGCGCCTCAATACTGCCTCATCACCTAGAGACCTGGGTACCTCCAGGCTCCTATTTGTTAACTTTATATAAAATTGGTCCCCTTTCCTTTCCCTTTCCCTATTCATTTCTTACTTTTTAACTCCTTGTTCACATATAGTGAGTCTATATGAGAAACTCAAGAATAATGACAGTGTTGGCATAATGACTTTTGATATAAAGTTTGATTTAGTCACAACAGAATGTCAGTGGTTCTTGAAAGAGGTTGGTAATTACCCATTTGTCATTTCTCATAACGCCAAAAACATGAGTATGAATGCATACTGAGGGATTTTGTTCTAAATATGCACTCAATAAAGAAAATATGCATTTATTATTATAATTGATAAATGGGAACTAAGATCAACTGTGAAATATTCTTTATATGTTAGTAACATCAAAGTCAAATCAAATTTTAAAGGTAATGTAAATTTAATTTTGTCTAAAATTAGAGATTAGCAATGATGACCACTCAAATTCTTCTCTCCTCACAAAATTCTGAGTCTTGTGTGTGATTTCAAGTGTTTCCAAAAAAAGTCAATGTAATTTATCTTGCATGAATATATCAGTTGCTGCAGCAGTATTTCACCTAGTGTCTATTTGTGGTCTTATAAAGTGTATTGCCTCTCTATTCATCCATCTTACTTTTGCCAATTGAGCTCAAGATCTTACATTTGGTATACCAACTAAATATAATTTTTTAGAAAAACAGGAATTGTGGTTAGCAGCTTATTATTGATTCTAAAATGGGAATATTTCTTTTCTTTTTTAAAAAATATATTTTTATTGATTTTTTACAGAGAGGAAGAGAGAGGGAGAGAGAGTTAGAAACATTGATGAGAGAGAAACATCAACCAGCTGCCTCTTACACACCCGCTACTGGGGATATGCCCGTAATCAAAGTACATGCCCTTGACTGGAATCAAACCTGGGACCTTTCAGTCCACAGGTTGATGCTCTATCCACTAAGCCAAACCGGTTTCGGCTAACATGGGAATATTTCTATTTGTACTCTATGAAGAGGCAAATTACTCTATCAAAAGTTATCATTTATATATATTTATATATTTGAGTTCCATAAAGGGCCTATAGAATAAGAAAGTGAATTAAATTTTATTAAAACTAATTTAAACTATCATTATTCTCCATTAAACTCAATTTATTATGAAACTTTTACTCTCCCTTCATAGTTTGTAAATACTCTAGCTCCTGATAAAATTAAAAGGGCTCTCATTAAAGTCTTGGATAAAGAAAAGTCACAGTATCTGTGCTGTAGAAATACTATTCGGCAAGAGTAAAGGGTAAAGGTAGAAGTAAAGGTAGAATTATTTTCTATGTTCAAAAGAAAAAAAATTAGAAAAAGCTAGGCCCATTAAATGAAAGTGTAATAATGGTTCTCTCTGTTTCTATTCTTATCTCTCTAAAGTCAATTCTCCTTGACCTAATGTAAGTAACCTTTTAAAAATGTAGGCCAGATCATGCCAATCTCCTGATCTCAGCCATCATAGCTTATATCAAGATTTTTACAATGGCCTACAAACTCTGACATGTACCAACCATGGCTATTCCTCAACAGCATTTCCTACCAGTCTCCCCATAATTCATTTTTAGAAGCAATATTGTTGTCAAAAGAAATGGCAAAGTATGCATCTGTTCCTGTGCTTAATATTTCATTCCAAAGGCTATTCAGGTTTTCTATAATGAAGTAGCAAATGCTAACACAGGCAAAGTGGACCAATATGACCAATATTATGATTACTAAGAGACAGAATCCAGTTGTTGGAAGATAATCATACATATCTCAATTTTCTTAAGAAGTGTTTCTTATACACATGCTGGCAATTAGGGCAGGAATTACTCTGCTGATTATATTCTGCCAAATAACACCCATTAAAGACTTACCTGCAGCGACTATGATAATATCTGCCAGTTGAGTATGGATCTTCAGTTGTTCTTTGGGAGTGTATCTGTGAGCTATTGTCACTGTTGCATCACCTGAAATGCAGAAGAATTTCATTAATTATTACTTAGCTTATTCATAATTTATGAGTGCTCCTAGAAACCTAGCACTTGAAAGTTCTGCCTTGACAAGTAAATACACAGTCACTAATTGGCTTGATAATCCTACCTCATAAACAAGTAATATGCAAATTAACCATCACTCTGCTATACCAGAGCCACTCCTATTAGCCAATCAGAGTAAGTATGCAAATAAACCCAACCAAGATGGCTACAGCCAAAGAGAGCAGGAGGGAGGCTTGAGTTTCCCAGGCAATGGAGGAAACCAAGCTTTCTGCACACTCTGGCCAGCCCAGGCCTCCACTCCAGGCTATAAAGTTTTAATTATAGAAGATACACAAATTCCAAAAAAAATGGCTACTGGCCACGGAGCGAGCAGGAGACTTGGCTCTGCTCCAAACTATAAAGTTTCAATTGTAGAAGGTAAATAAATTCCAGATACCAGGGCCTCCACTTGGGTTGCCAGGGGGCATGGCTAGCCTGCAAACCACCACAGGCCCCTCACTCAGGACATCCCATGCCCCAAGGGAACCCCATCCTGATCCAAGACACCCTTCAGGGCAAACCAGCTGGCCCCCACCCATGCACCAGGCCTCTATCTTATCTAATAAAAGAGTAATATGCAGATTGACCATCATTCCAACACAAAATATGGCTGCCCCCATGTGGTCAAAGATCCTGCCACAAGATGGCCACCACAAGATGGCCAGCATGGGAGGACAGTTGGGAGGCACCAGACCTGCAAGAGAGGGCAGTTGAATGGGACCAGGCCTGCAAGGGAGGGCAGATGGGGGTGATCAAACCTTCAGGGGAGGTCAGTTAGGGGTGACCAGGTCGGCAGAGGAGGGAAGTTGGGGGCAAACAGGCTGGCAGAGGAGCAGTTAGACATCAATCAGGCTGGCATGGGAGTGGTTAGGGGGTGATCAGGCTGGCAGGCAGAAGTGGTTAGGGACAATCAGGAAAACAGGCCAGCGAGCAGTTGGGAGGTAGCAATCCTGGATTGTGAAAGGGATCCCAGATTGGAGAGGGTGCAGGCTAGGCTGAGGGACATCCCCATCCCCCCTTCCCCCATGCACAAATTTCATGCACTGGGCCTCTAGTAAGATATATAAATACTGAAAATAGCAAGACAAGTGCACTAAAAATGGGGCAACATCTTGTAGTAGGACAGGTTAGAGATTAATTCTGCCTCATCTTGGCAGGTACCATATTCATCTTGAGGGGGTGTCAAAAAAGGGGTTCCTAAAAGAGGTAATATACTTTGTTAGTTCTTAAAACATGAGTTGTAGTACAACAATCAGGAGAGGGAGGGGGAAAGAAATTCCAATACAAAAGAATGGCAAGGAAAAATGAACCAACTTTGAAATTTTGTGTTTAAAAAATGAAGAAGTCTAGGCTATAGGGAAAGTATTCATACGTGCTTTCACAAAGTGATGTATTAGAGAGGTTAGCAGACTGGGGGATTTCAGTGCTTAACCTGAGAGCCAAGGAAGAGGAGTGAGAGAAAGGCAGTGAAGAGTGCAGTCAAAGGAAGGACTCTCGGCATGAACAATGCTGTGTGAGGCAGTATTTTCTCTCTTCCCTTTCAGCGTAATGTGCAACAAAAATGGCACAGTCTCTATTTTTAGGAAAACTAGAAGACATACCACAGGAAGAAAGGCAGCAAAGAAATGGACAGAGTAACAAAATGGTCAGCAACAACAGATCTCTGAAAATTACTGTAAAAATATACTTCCTGAAAGTGAAGAGTTCACATCAAAATGCAAATATTTGTAGCAGATAAAATAGGAAGAAAGGCTGGAGAAGTCTTCTGAAACCCAGTATAGTTCAACAGTAAGGAACACAAAGACTTATAAAGGGGAGGATTTCAACAGGAAAGAAGTAGTTGAATTCTATGAGGGTGAAGAAGGAATCTGAATGCTGCCCTTACCTCCTTCACAAGCCCTAGAAGAAGTATCCTGCAAATAGCAGATCCAAAAAATCCAACTCTTCAATAAGTAATTTACAAAAGCACTTGACAAACAAAGCATTGAACGCATATTATATAAGGATCAACCCAGGGGAATTTGGATGGTGACAGAACCATTCAGGTTCTATTAGTAGTTACATGATTATATATATGCATTTGTCTAAACTCATGAAACTGTATACCTAAAAAAGTGAATTTTACTATATGCAGTTTTCTTAAATAAAAAGAATCATTTTAAAAGTGGGAGTCCCAAGAAAAAAAGCAAAAACAAAAATGTAAGTCCAATTAGAAAGAATATATGCACCCCTATGTTCATAGCAGTATTTTTTACAATAGCTAAGATCTGGAGACAGCCCAAATGCCCACAAGTGGATGAATGGATAAAAATGCTGTGGTACACTTACATCATGGACTACTATGCAGCTATAAAAAGGAAGGTTATTTTACCCTTTGCAACAGCATGGAGAAACCTGGAGATTAATATGCTAACTGTAATAAGCCAGTCAGAGAAAGACAAATATCACATGTTCTCATTTATATCTGGTACCTAATTGTAGAGGGCCACATGGGAAGGCACAAGGCATTTCTTTAATTATTGTCAGCTGAACTCAGGGTGATAGGCAGAGCCACGCCCTGGGAACATGCTTCCCCCAAAAGGCTGGGCATGTTATCAGCTTGGCCTTCATTTCAGTCCAGATGTCACGGAGAGGCCTTTGATATATAAATCCAGCAAGCACCAGGAATGCTAGGGTCTACTCAAGAATGCAAATAAGCTCCTTTGATCCTAAATTTTGGTGATACTTCCTGGTATTTTGGATATAAAAATAAACGCACTGTGTGGGGTCGGGGTCCTCGTTGCCTCTCCATCAGAGAGAATGGCACCCCACCTGGCTCCCAGCTTGCTTCTATTTCTGCATTTTGCTCTCTTTCTTTTATTTCTTAATCCCCAACTCCTTCACTCAGGAACCGGACCTGTTTCTTTTCCATGCTAGATGCAGAAAAGAGAGAAACACCCCACACCTAATGAATAAAATAAACTCACGAAAAAATAGGTCGGAGGCATGGATGCATGGAACAGACTGAGGGATCTCAGAGGGGAGAGGCATGGGTGTATGGAAAACCAAATAACTGAACAACTGTTTCTGGTTCTGAGAGCTATCTATCCAATGTTAAAATAAAAAAATAAAAAAATGGAGACTAACCTTGAAAATTCTCTGAGCAGACAAAACCAGTTTAGTCATACAAGCAAAGCTTATTTAACCAAGTTAATTTGATCTGAATCGTTTCTTGCTTATGCCTCTGAAAATCATAAACAAAATTTGAACTATTTCTCCAAATTCATATGAGGTAACCATTGACCAATTCCCTATCATTTAAAAAAATTCTAATACTATAACCAATCACTGTTAAGAATAAACAGTTCCTGCTTTCTTGCTAATATAAGCTGTCTTAGAACAATATACTCCTGAGCCTCATTCCATATTTTGGTTTGAGGGCTCCTAGTTTGCAAACTATCTTCTTGGTGTGTAAACAGTAAACTTTTACTGATTATTAATTCAGTGACTGATTGTTATGCCTGAACTTTTGACGCCTGCTAACTACATTCTCTTAATTGACATAGTGAAAACTCTTGTCATCCATATTTCTAGTCCTGGTATTCCCAGGACTAGAAATCCTGAATCCTCTGGTTCAGCAAACCAGAGGATTGCTGAACCTAATCCATTCTATCTCCTCAGCTTTTTCCATAGGATAACCAGTACTAACAAGTTGCAACAGCTACTCCTTAGAATGATGTGTATCTCTGACTCTGACAACTTTTCCCCCTACACTCAGTTTCATGTCCTTATTGCTCAGATAATATCAGCCTTGGAAAGAACCTAATTTTTCTAAGCATTCCACAGACCCAGGTAAAAATTTATAAGAAGAGTCTTAAGCAACGTGTTTCTGCAGTTTTGCATAAGTTTATAGAGATCATGATAGCCTAGAAACCTTCAAATATCTATTTGTGCCTGCATCAGCAAATACAGCAAAATGGAAAACCCAGTAGGGGCTGTAATCTCATATGTGAGAGTTCTTTTGTCACTTTCTCTAGATAAGGAAAAACTGAGTAATTCCCAACACATTAATTCACACAATGGTCTGGTTTAAAAGGAAAAAAATAATTGAGGAAAAGTCAGTACTCATCAACAGAACAGCACTCAATGAATCTTAAAATAATTCTGCATTCTCTTGACTCTGAACTCCATTTGCTGCATGCTTTCTATCCCAATTTTAGCTGCTTTTCCTGGATTATATTGTTTAAATTTTAGATATTGTTGCAGAGCACTCAGGTCTAAGGCTTCGGTCCCTGCTTTACTAGTAAATGGGCCAGGCTTTACTGACTTTATCTGGACAAGACCTGGCTGGTTTGATTTGCTGTTTATCAGTCCTCCCATTGTCTTCCAAACAGCTTGAACCAATGGTTTCACTTTTAACTAGTCAAATACTGTTTCAAGCTCACTCCTTTTAAACACCTACAGTTCCTTGGAGAGAAAGAGTTGTATGGACAATTGACTGAATCCTGACCATCAGTGTCTATAGATATTTTAAAAATCTGCCCCAGATTGGGCCAATTATTGAATTGAAATTGTGGATGCATTTATTCAATAAAGACAATATACAAATGAACAAACACATATATACTAGAGTCCTGGTGCTCAGACTCCTGCATCGGTTGAGTCTCTCAGCCTGGCCTGTGGGGATCAATGGACATCTATGCCACCACAGCCTAGCCTTACCAGCTCATCGGGCTTCAGCTTGCTGTCCACATTGATCCCACACAGCACACAGTAGTGTGTGAAGCGGCAGGCAACCAGGAAAAAGCCTGAGCCTGAGCTGGCTGTTGTGCTGCTCCTGCTCATCCCAGCCTCGCTGCGCCTGCTGCTACTGTCATTGATTAGGCACACAGGGGGAGTATCCACGGGAGAGGCTTGTACCACTGCAGCTACACTCACCAGCCATGAGCCCG